TGTTATTCCTAGACGGTTATTGTGATGGGCATGGAAAGCTGGACACTCACAGCCACACACCTCTTCCGAGCATCCTGATGGTTGGTTTCTCCTTCTCTTAAGCTACTCAGCCCACCACTTCTATTGCTCCTTTTCCTGTCCCACGTCTCCCTCTTTCCAGGCATATACTCTATCCCTGTGGTTTCTGAGTATCAATGAAAGAAAAAAGAAAAATAAATTCTTTCTTAACTCTTTTGAAGCCAAATAAAATGGGCTAGAGAAGAAGGCAGGAAAGAAGGTGGATGAAAAGAGCTGTCGTGCAAGAGGGGCACTTTTTTAGTATAGTTTTCCCAGTCGAGATTATATAATCTTGTACGTGATGGAATATGAGCAACGAGGGATCAATATCCAGAGGCAGACAAAAACAGACTAGCAGAAGAATGGCGCACGGTGGCACACTTCTGTAATCCCAGTACTTGGGAGGCAGAGGCAGGAAGATCTCCATGAGTTTGAGGCCAACCTGGGCTATATGGTGAGTTCAAGGTCAGCCTGAATTACCAAGTGAGACCCTGCCTCAATACCCGCCCCCCCATCTTAGTTTCTTTTCTCATTGCTGAGACAAAATACTTGACACCCAAAGTTGAAGGAGGAGAGGTTTATTTAGCTCGGTTTGTAGAGGTTTCAGTCCATAATCAGCTGGCTCGAACGCAGGGTGGCACATGGCAGATGAGCAACAGTTCATGGCGGCAGAAGACAGCAAAAGCAATGAGAGAAACAGCAGAGATAAGCCTCTTTCTGTCCCTTATAGTGCATGCAGACTACCTGTCCTAGGGCAGGTGTAGCACTCACTCCCTTAATCCCAGCATTGGACCATGAATCAGTCACAAACTGTAGATTCAGCCACCTCTGAAAAGCCTGACCCCCATGACCACATGAGGCTTTGGGGGGGGACAGCCAGACACAGACCATAACACCCCCCCAAAATGTTGCCACATAGTTATCTGTTTATGTACCACAAAGCACTAGAATAAGGTATCAAGAAATATAGCCTTTAGGTATAAGATGGGTATAAGGTGGGTGTCAAGGAATAAATCCTTCAAGACCATGTGAGTGCTGGAATCCACTGAGTATTAGAAGGCAACAAGAAAGTACATAGCCGTAAAGAAGGGTAAATCTGTGTCAATTGTAGGAAAATGGACGCACCTCGAGACCATCATGTTAAGTGAAATAAATCAGCCACACAAGCTTGAATAATGCATACCCTGTCTTACATGAGGAAACTCAAAGTATAAATAAAGAGCTAAAGAAAAGATAGGCGATAGGGAATAGAGAGACAGAGCTTTGATAAATGAAAAGGGAATCTTGTGACGGAGGGAGGTCGAGAAAGGGGAACAAGAATTAAGATGTGTTCTGTCCATGTACCTATTCCCACCGTGGATGTAATCAATATGTACCACAAACATGTGCTAATAAAAAAAAAAATGCTTAAACCCAATCAGGGCACATAGCAAGAGACACAGTAAATACTCAAGCTGAAAAAGCCGAGCTGCTTCCTTAAGATTGCATATAATTCACAGTACCTACCTGGTTATTTATCATTAATTCATGACTAGCTATGCTTTATTAATAAGGTGAAGAGGAGAAATGTGACTGCAAAATTTGTCTCTGACATCACCAGGTAAGTTAAGGACAGATGTGAGTGAAAGAAAGACATTCAGTACAGATAGAGAGGTTTACAGTGATATTAAAAAGATCAGAGAACCCTGTAAAGTGGTGGGCAGGGCTGAGTTTGCACGCACATTTGAGAAAATTTTTCATGGGGATGGAAACTAGAATTTTTTGTTGGTGGGAGAGGGTCTCACTATGTAGCCCAGGCTGGCCTCAAACTCACAGTGATCGTCCTGCCTCAGCCTCCTAAGTGCTGGGATTACAGGCACAGGCCAACACACCAGGCCAGAAACTAGCAGAGAGGCCAGATCCCTGATTTGGTTCACATCATCAACTTCTCTGATTTTCTACCCAGCCAGGCTCACCTTCGCTGGCCCAGGAACACAGAGCTCACACCGCACCCCCCCCAAGTGCCCCTTGTTTCCTTGCTATGCAGGACACTTCCCCGGCCCAGACCCCAGCCCTGGCATTCCTCTCACAGGGTCCCTGCACTGGGACAGGGGACACTTTCACCATCGATTGCTCAGGCTTTGGCTAGCATGGGTGTGTTCTGTTGCCTCCCAAATAGGCATTGCTAGAAAGGCCTTTGGTCTGGCTAGAAAGCACAGCATCACATCCACGCCAACATCTCCTTCATCCCATCTGCTGTACCAGAAGTGGTGAATCCTGACCCAACATTTCTATGGACCAGTGGTGAGCATTGGGTCCTGTAACTGGATTCTGCAAAATAAGAGACAAAAAATTCAAGGGACTTGAGTAGACACTTCTCCAAAGAAGATATATGTATAGCCAATAAGCACAAGAAGAGATGCTCAGTGTCACTTACCATTGAAGAAACAGCTGGGCATGGTGGGGCACACCCACGTGAGGCTGAGGCAGGAGGATCACTGTGTTTAAGGCTGCCTGAGCTACCCAGTGAGTTCAAGGCCACTCTGAACTATATAATGAGACCCTATCTCAAAAGACAAAGAAAGAAAGAAAGAAAGAAAGAAAGAAAGAAAGAAAGAAAGAAAGAAAGAAAGAAAGAAAAGAAACAGATCAATACCACAACACTACCTCATACCCTTTAGGATGACCACCACTTAAACAAAAAACAAAATAAAATAATAAGTGCTGGGAGGATATGATAACTTGGAACTGTTGTGCACTGTTGCTAGGGATGTAAACGATGCTGCCGCTGTAAAAGAGTTTGCTGGCTCTTTAAAGTTAAAAATAGAGTTACTATATAACTCAGTAATTCCTCTTCTGGATACACACTCAAAAGAACTGAAAGTAGGATCTCAAAGAGATATTTGTGCACATGTTCATAGCAGAAGTTTTCATAAGAGTTAAAACACGGGAGCAATCCAAGTGTCCATTGACAAATGAATGGGTAGACCAAATGTGGCATATATATATACATATATATATACACACACACACACACACGCACACACACAATGAAATACTACTCAGCCTTAAAGAAGGGAATTGTGATCTATGCTACAACATGGATAGATGCTGAGGATGTTGTACTGAGTGAGATAAGTCAGTCACAAAAAGACACTAAATGACTCCCTTCCCTTGAGGTACTTGGGCTAGTCACAAGTAGTGAAATAGAAATTAGAAAGGTATTAGGGAGAGGAAGAATAGGGAGTTATTGTTTCATGTTTATTTACTGTTTACTTGTTTAATATTTACTGTTTAAATGTAGAGTTTCAGTTTAGCCAGACAAAGAGTTGTGGTGATGGGTGGTGGTGACAGTTGCACAGCAAACAGTACGAGTTCACTCCACGCTGCTGAACACTTAAAATGCTTCATGTAGTAAATTCTGTGATTTGTGTTCACAATAAAAATTGGAGAACTACTTTTTAAAAGGTTTTTTTAGAGACTCATTCTACGGGGTGAGGAGACGTGCCAGGGAATGTTGTAAGACATCCCTGCAGGGAAAGTGTGTTTCTCTTTGGAATACCAGCCTGGATTCATTTGACTTACATTTTCCAGTAACTTATGATTAAAAATCCTAACTGCCACATGGAACAGCCTGGAAAGTGACTAAGGAGTGGATGGAAGCGTTGGACCCGCCTTCTCGGAATTAATGATCCTGGAAACAGATTGCTTTGTGAGTGCGGGTCAGCCTCCTAAGGGACCCCCTGCTCTTCCTCTCTGCCTGCCCTTCCTGGCCTCTGTTGTCGCTGTCATTGGAGCACCAGGCAGATGCTCATCTGTAAGTCCTGCTCAGGAGCTTCTCTTGGTCCCAGAAACCCTAGGCTCCCATTCCTGTCCAAACCTCAGCCTCATGGCCCAACTTCTAAACCAGGTCTGCTATGCGCTTCCAGCCCAGACCTGGACAGCTTCCCTGCTTGTGCTCACGCTTGCTGTCAGCTCCTTTCAGCCCCACCATGCGCCTTGGCTCCCTGGTTCCCCAGATTCAAGTTCCTGAAGCACTTTCTTAATGGAATCACCTCCCACCTTAAAAAAAAAAAAAAAAAAAAAAAAAACCTTTGCAGAAAGTATTATATTACAGTCAAAAACCGCTGGGTGGAGCTGGGGTGTGGTGTTACACCGCAGCACTAGGGAGGCTGAGGCAGGAGGATCACTGCAAGTTCAAGGCAGGCCTAGGCTACATAATGAGTTCAAGGACAGTCTGGACTACATAGAGGACCCTGTATCAAAAAACAAAACAAAAAAACACTTAAGGTTGAGTGTCTTCTTGCAGAAATTTCTCATTACCAAAATAGGGGTGTGTGTGTGTGTGTGTTAATTGTATCAGACATGTGCAAGTAAGGGGAGGAGAAAAGAGGGACCACATCTATTAGAAGAAATTACACCTCAGTAGAGATTAACCTTCTAAATCCAGCTCTCCTGGGTTTAAGTCTCAGGAATTAACAATGTCCCAGAACAAGGCCTCTCTTGTTTCAAGACTGAAGCCTTTTGTCACAGCCCAGCATATGACTCATTCATCATTAAGCCTTAGAGTGTTAACCTAAACCTGCACTGCCGTTCACGGTGTGTGCCGCCGAGAAGCTGCTCTCCCCTCCCCACCCACGTGAGGAAAGGAACGATAGGCCGGGGACGTGCGTTTCAAAATGGCGTCTGCCTGACATGGGAGACACAAATGCCCCCAGTGAAGCTGGAATGCACTCCTCCCCTGCCCAGACCTTACAGGTTTGCAAATCTTTTTCTCTTGACTGGTCCCTGCACTGAAACCGAAAGGTTAACGTGGATCTTTAAAAACTAATCAGTTGGGGACTGGGAATTTAGCTCAGTGTTGTAGTGCCTGCCTGGCAAGCGTGAGGTCACGAGTTTAATTCCTGGTACTCAAAAAAAAAAAAAAAAGGTAAAATAAAATAAAATGCTTTTTTTTTTTCCAGTGTCATCATGCCGAGCATGGAAACTTCCACCCCCAGCTCTGGCACCAAGGAGATTTCAACAGAACCAGATTTTCCACATTTCCTGGGCCCGCTGATAGACCAAGGCCTGGCTAAACATTTCCTGGCTGTTGTTCCCTTTTGTTATAAACGGAAATGCTGCTGCGCAAAGCGGGTGGAGCAGGCTAGCTCCCCTCCAACTTGGCCAAATTGTGAATAAACTCAGTTTTTCATTTTTACAGGCTTTTCTCGTACTGTTGATGATGGGCGTGCAGATGAGGCCAGACAGTCAGGGATTCCCAGATTCTGGCCTCTGGCTGGACGCTGGTGGCACTGCTGGCTGCCTGGGGCAAGGAGAGGCTCCACTCTACTTCTCTCTGGATGTGAGCAGTGGTATGATTTGTTGGACACCTGAAGTCTAGAATGTTTAAGATCTGGTCTCCCCAGGCTGTTCTCGAACTTGTGGGCTTAAGTGAAATACCCCACTGCCCCACTCCCCACTCCCACCCAAGTACCTAGGATTACAAGTGTGTGCCAACACACCTGACGTCTACTATTTTCCTTCTGAAACCTACATTTCCAAGGTCATGCTGGTCCAGGAGTGAGAGAGCCATAGAATTTTTCACCAAGCAATATTTCTATTCTTCATGGCTGCTACTCCCCCTTGAACAACTTCTCCTCCTCTTCTTTCTTCTTCCTTTTCTTCTTTTAGTTTTTTGAGATAGGGTCTCACTGTCCAGGCTTATCTTGAACTCACTACGTAGTACTTGTTAGCCTCGAACTCACAGCGATCCTCCTGTTTCAGCCTCTTGAGTGCTGGGATCACAGACATGTACCACCATGCCTGGCTTCTTCCCTTGAACTTCTGTAGCTCCTTCTGGCCACTGCAGATGTCCAAATGGCAGCCATGTTGCGAAGATCCACCTGAGGGGTCACTACTGTCTCTGCCCGCCGAGCCTGCCGCAGGAGCCTGTACTCTCAGAGCAGCACCACTGCAGGGCTGAGTCCTGCACCTGCCCCCAGCTGGGTACTGGGTCAACAGGACCAGCTGTGACTTGTTCTTTCCTTGCAGTCTCTTCTTTTGGAACTCAGAAGTCTGCAGGAGTCTCAAGTGTTGAGTCAGAAACACTCTGCGATATTCTGAATCACTCCTTTCCCTCTGGCCCATTCTCCTTTTGGGCCTGCCTCCCAAGGAAGTCTTGACATTCATTTCTCCCCCTCGCCAGACCTGCAAGCAGGTCCAAAATGTGCCCAAGACCCAGTGGACACACAACCTACGCTCAGAGGGGGAACCTGGCACTCACTAAATCACAGCATTGGTTATTATTTTGGCGATTCCTCAAGTCCCAGCTTTCTGTGGGCCATCAGAGAGAACTCAGTAATAGCAAGAATAACAACCAGCCTTCATGGAGTTACTGACAGGTAGCTGGTTTTCCACTAAGTGTGCTGTGTGAATGAACACACCAATCCTTACATAACCCTATGAGGTAGGGACTATACTATGTTTTGGGATTTGAAATTTTTCAGATTTTTAAAGGGTAATAACTGCATGGGTTGTATGGTTGGTTCCCAGTCAAACTCTCGCCGAGGTTTGGTCCCTGGTATAACCATGCTGAGTAGTGACACCTTTGCTCTCATGAAAGGATTAATGTAGTTCCCACAAGAGTGGGCTCCTTATCTTGACAGTTGGTTGTTGTAAAACATTTATTGCCTTTTATTCTGTCCTCTTTGGCACACACTTGCTTCTTTTCCACTTTTTTTTTTAGACAGGGTCTCACTATGTAGCTCAGGCTGGCTTTGAACTCATGATGATCCACATGCTTCTGCCTCCCCAGTGCTGAAATTACAGGCAAGTGCCACCTTACTCAAATTCTCTTTTACTTTTTGCCATGCATTGAAGCAGCGTGAGGCCCTCACCGGAGGCCAAGACGATGCCAGGGCTCTTGGGCTTCCAGAACCATGAGCTAAATAGACCCCCTTCTTTATCGATTACCCAGTTGCCAATATTTTGTTAGAGCAACAGAAAATGGACTAAGACACTTTCACCATTGTTTTCAGGAGAGTATGTTCCCTGTATTTAACCTGCATAGCCCATTTTTCCCCCATGACCCATCTAGTTTAGGGTTTTTAATTTTGTATTGTTTTGTTTTGTTTTGCTGCTGCTCTACATTCTACTATAGAAACTTTCGGATCCTCTCCCCATACCCTGTCCTGGGATGGTCATCTCATCTGGAAACTCATTATTGGCCTTTGCTGAGTGGCTCATTTACCCAGCTCTTGAGGGGCTCTGAAATTATTTAAGATCAATTTGCATCAGCTGCCAACCTATCTTGCTGTTGATTTCCCTGCTTCTTTTCTACACATTTTCCCCCAATATGTAGTTTTAAATTTTACTTGAACAGAAAAATCTGCAGTTCATCTTTTTTGATACATGGATGAAGATGTCTCTCCTTTTAGAGTAAGAGAAGATATGACGTAACCACAGTGATTTTATGTTCTCCAAAAGCAACATCTGAACATGTGATCCTCACACACAACTCAGTCACGCACAACCTTTGAAACACAAGCTCTCCCACAAAATTAACAGGTACGCTTACTGCTCTTGGTTGCACCCGCTGGAAATTTATGAGAGGACACTTGGTCCTAACGACTTTCCTTTTGTTATCTGGCAGACCTCTGAAAGGCTTTACAAGGTAACTTATGACCTCTTTAGGAAAAGCTGCTGACAGGCAGCCAGCCCTGCCTAGGCCATTTGCACTCTGCAGCACCTCCCTGCCCAACAGCTGCCCAGTACCTTGTGCCTTCATCCACAGTGCTACCTGTGGTCTTCCCACACATTTTCCTTTGCTTTTTTGGTTCCCCAAGCTGTCAGAAGCAGTGTTTGTCCATGTCTCCTGCATTTTCTTTTGACTCCACATTAGTCTGCCATTAGGCTATTTTACCTTACTACCAGCTTTTCCTCCCTAACCCTTCCTTCAGTTCTACTCTAGGATCTGAAGTCACAGACTTTATTTCAAGCAGAAACTCCTTCTTTTCTAATTCTCCCTTTAATAACCATTTTAAATTTGATCATTTAGGGGCACTTGCTCTTCCATACAGTAGGGGAAAATGGTACCATACAAAGGCTTTAGAATCTGGCAGCCCTGGTTGTTTGTGGTACTGGGGATTGGATCCAGGGCTTCCACACTGAGCTACATCTGTCAGCCTTTTTGTGTTTTATTTCAACACAGGGTCTCGCTAAATCAATAAGTTGCCCAGATTTGGCTCTAACTTGCCATCCTCCTGCCTCAGCCTCCCACAGTGCTGAGATTACAGGCGTGCGCCCCATCTAACCCTGGGTTTTAATCTGACTCCCCCACTTGTGAGCTGGGTAACCTTGGACAAGAGGCTTAATGTTCCAAGCTTCAATTTCTTCATTTGTAAAGTGGAACTAATAACGAAGATTAATTATGTTTAAAATATTGCTTTGGAAAAATCATATAAGTTTATAGCAATGAAAAAGCTAAATGCGAAGCACTAGACAGCATCCATTTTTCATGCAGGCTGAGAGCTAAAGTGCAAAATAGACTTCCAAGTGGGAGGCAACAGACATAAAAAATTACAGACTTTCTGACTCAACCCCCTCGTTTTTTAGATGAGAAAAATGAAATAGAAGTGAAATGACAAGTACGGGGTCGTCACAATTCAGCAAAAAACAGGCCTGTGGAAGCAGCCGCCACACTCATCCATGGTGCTCTCATGAGTCCCAGGGGTCTCCTGCTCTCCAGCCCTGAGCTGGCGCCCCCTGCTGCAGTGGAGGTGCCCAACTGCCTTAGTCTCTGGACTTAGGCCAGGCCAAGGGTTCTGTGGATGACTGCCATCCCTCTGGGTGGCCCCCAGTCACCACCTCCTTCTGCTAAATTCTGCTCCTGCCAGGTTGTAGCTCTCTCCCAAATCTGATCTGCCAAGTCCCAGATGACCCAGGCCAGTAGGGGGCCGCTCAGGGTGATCTGAGAATAAACTGAGGAGACAGGTGTTGGTGGCTGTGACTTGCAAAACTACAGCTACTGTCTCCACTATTTGCCTTTGTATCTAAGCACTGTCTGAGCCCAGATGTTTCTCTAGTGGAAACCTAGACCCCTAAAAACCCTACCCATAGGGGCTGGGGATTTAGCTCAGCGGCAAAGCGCCTGCCTGGCAAGCGCAAGGTCGTGAGTTCGGTTCCTGGTACCGGAGAAAAACCAAAAAAAAAAAAAAAAAACCCTACCCACAAGACTCTGTAGCTATAGATTAATGAAAAGAACAAGGAAGGAATAATAGAATTGCATTTATCTGGCTTCGAATCTGGGTTCTGCCAGTTTCTGTCTTGGTGGACCCTAAGCAAGATTTTATTTTTATCCCTCTTCATCTTGGTTTACTTTCTTTCTTCTTTTCTTTCCTTCTTTTTTTTTTTTTTTCAGGTTAAGAGAGTTTTATTGAGGGACTGGGGATTTAGCTCAGTGGCACAGCGCCTGCCTGGCAAGTGCGAGGTAGTGAGTTTGATTCCCTGTAATGGGAAAAAAAAAAAAGAGTTTTATTGAAAATAAGAAGGCTATGTGTGTTAGGCATGGTGGTGCACACCTGTAATCCTAGCACTCCGAAGGCTGAAGCAGGAGGATTGCCATCAGTTTGAGGCCAGCTTGGGCTACACAGGGAGGGCAAGGCCAGCCTAAATCACACAGTGAGACCCAGTCTCAAAAAAACAAAAAAAGAAAAGAGAAAAGGAAGGAAGGAAGGGAAGAAGAAGGAAGGAAGGAAGAAAGGAAGCAAGGAAGGAAGAAGAGCTCCTGAGTGTCCAAGAGAGTGGCTACATAGTTCCTCTATCCAGAGCTAATTATAGATAAACAGAGCACAGGAATTGCTCAGTTGTTTAGTGGCCGCCTGTCACAGGTAGTACTGTGTATTGGGGGTGGGGTTGAGATAGGGTCTCACGGTGCAGTTTAGACTGCCTCGGCCTCAGAGTGCACCACCACACCCAGCTTGTTTTGTGGATTTAAAATGATCAACTGGAATTCAGGCTGTCTAAGCCAGTTTCTTGGGATGTAGGATTTAAAGGAAATGGATTTTAAGGAAAAATTGGTTATTTTGCATTGTAGCTCCTCAGAACTCGGGAGCTTCATGAGGAGTGGCTGCGCCTCCCTTTATGAGGTGGGGTGCGCTGCACTCATGTTGCTTGAGGAAATTCTTTGGACTTTTGTTTTCTTATCCGTGAGGGGTGAGT